GCAATTACAAAAAAAGAGGAAAGGAAAAATCAAAAGGTCTTATTATGAAAAATATTAAGATATTTAATGATAATTATATAATAAATTGAATAAAACTAATACTTACACTATAATACATACATTTAATAATTATAATTAAACATTCTAATATCTTTAAAGGAAGAATGTATACCAATCTTGACTGTCAAAAACAATTAAAGTTCTAACTTTAAAGCACGTTGTTTTATTTAATTAAAATTTAATTCAAAATTTAAAAAATTATCTTATTAAATGTTAATATATTAGAACATATAATCGATTTCTAAATTTAAATTTCAACATTTAATATGATGAAATTTTAATTTTCAAATATATATTAAGACTCTAATTATTTTTTATTGTCAAGAATGATATGTACTAACCTCTATTTTTAATATCAAACTGTTTACACTTAAAAATAAACCAATATGGTAAGACCATATGTCAAGATTAAGCCCAATCTTTAAGGAGGGTCATTAAGTTGGGTTAGGTTGAATTGGGCTGGGCTAATTTAGAATTTAATGGCCTAGACGGATTTTTAAAGAGGTTGGATTTTAGGTGGCAGAAAGATAAATTAGTTTCTGGTGGTTGAGTTTGATTTAAATTAGGAAGTTGAGGGCTTTTAGGAGAAGAATATTACTAGGGTTTTATTGAAGATAAGAGTGAATAAAAAACTGTTAGCTACCAGACAACTGCCCAGACGTGGAGTCCCCACTACCCGTTCATGGTGGGAAGAAGGCCAAAAATCATGGAGGAGGCTTCCCAGCACCAAAGAAAAGGAAAACAAGAGAACACACACAATCAGATGGCCTGCCCTAGAGAACTTGCCCAGCGCATTTGCTTTTTCAACTTTTAGTTTGTTTCTTCCAGATTTCAACAAAATTTCTAGATTAGTTTGCAAGATCTGTTCTTGTTCATAGCTTTAGTTTAGGTTTTTCCATGTTCATATCTTTCCTCAATGATTTCAACTTCGGTTAGTTATTAAGAATTTGGAAGCGTTTCAGCCTTGAAAACAGGTATGCCTTATTGATTTGGTTAGTTTTTTTTTTTCTCTTATGGATTCATCTTTTTTATTTGTTTATGTAAATGAGTTGAATGCTTTCTGCCTTCTTTCCTTTGTTTCTGTGCAACTACCAAACTTGCAATTCATTTAATTTCAATTTCTAGATCCACATTTAATTTTACAAGTTTTTAGACTTCAATTATTTTGTAGATTATTCTTTAATTTTAGTTATCAAGTAATTCAATTATTTTTATTTTAAATCTGCGAGTAATTAGTTTAATTGTCATGGATTGTGAAGTTAAAATTAGTGTCATTAAAATTAGTGTCTGTAATCCTACATAGTCATGTTATTCTCTTTTATTTATTTCATGTTAGATTAATTGCCTTAGGATGTTGGGTTTATTTTAGGATTTGTAACTTTTATTACACTTTTGTAGTTATGAAGTCTTTGGAGGTGTTTAAGGTAATTAGTAATTGATTTTGCAAAACACCACTCTCTATTTGGCAACATCATTTGTGGCGCAATGTATTTCACATACGTTCTTTCTAGTCATCTTATTAGAAGTCGTTTGAAAAATATTGTTTTCTTGTTTTTAGACAAAGCAAGTGGCACACCTTATTCTCAAGCTCACGTGATTAAGGCCGGTTAAGAATTTTTGGGGGAACACAAATATTTTAATTTTTCCTTTTCTCTTAAAAAAACACACACACACAATATAAATACCATTGCGGCTGCCCAATTTCTGGTTTTTATACCTATTATAAGGAAAGGGAAAATAAAAAATAAAAAACTCCTATATTTAATGTAACATTAATAAGGGGTTTGACTAATTAAGCTTGAACAAACCAGAGAGCATGATCCAGGCTGTTTTCATCCCCGAAAATGGGTGGCACTGTCACATGGTCGTCAGTGGCGTGGAGAACCTCACTGCTATATGATTGGTGGTATCTTTCGTAAGACACAATTCTTTTTCTTTGACAAAATAACTACAAATACAAAGTTCTCGTCACATTAATTATAAAGCACGAATTTAGGTGATATGTAGATAATTTAGCATTAATTATAAGTTGATTTTATTATTAAGAGAATCTCGCATTAGATTTGTGAACTCACTCTTTTAATATCACATATCACATCAAGTTTATGTGTAAAATTTTGGCTCTTGATTTCTTTCATTATTCTAAGCGAAAATTTATATCAATTCATTAAAAACTGAACCTAAAACCAATCACTAAATTAAATTATAAACTAGATGAAAAAAGAAAAACGTAAAACTAGACTAAACTTGCAAAGGACATAATACATGAACCGGATTGGTCAAAGTTTAGCTTCATTACTACCATGCCAAAACTTCATTAAATAGCAATTAATTAAATGATTCTTAAAATAATATAATCTGCTATAACGTTGACTACAACCTCATTAGTGTATATATCTTGATTTACAAATAAGTTCTATTTTGCTATAATTGTTTCAAATTAATAGTTAATGGTTTCATTTAATATAGTTAATAATTATAATTATTATTAATTTAAATACTCTTATTTATTGGATTAAATGAGACTGCTAACCACTACTTTCAAATTACTAAATTATGCAGCCCCTTAAACAGTTTATATTAATTTGCTATA